CCTCACCGCGCACGGCCTTTTGCCCCCGTTTCTCCCTCTTCTTTTCCGGCCCTTCGCAGGCAATGGGGTGGGCAGAGGGTGCTGGCGAGGTGTCTGCTCGCTTGAGGGGCTGCCTCTGCTGTGCTTTGGGGCGTCGGGAGGTGGGCGGGAGCGAGTCAGCAAAGTTACAGGTCTTCCGTGTTTGCCTCTTGAGTAGTTAGAGACCCGGACAAGTAGCTGGGGTTGTCTGTGGCAGATGAATGCCTAGTTCAGGCTGCTTGAGTTTGTTCTAAAAAGGCATGTTGTTGCTTGCTTCTGCTTAAAAGTGTGTGCCTGAGATGCATGTGATGGGCTCTGGGTATGCAAAGTAGTAGTAGATTTTACTGTGTGGGTTGTCAAGTGTAGATTTCCAAATGCTGGTAGCCCTTGTACCACAGAGGAACTAAGAAGCAGAGACTGCTGGGGCTTGGTCTAAACCTCCTCAGCTGTGCAATTTAAGACTCAGTCTCTTTGTTCTTTTTTTTATCAGTTTGAAAGATGATGATAGCGGAGACCATGACCAGAATGAGGAGAACAACACACAGAAAGACAGTGAGAAGGAAAAGAATGATCGAGAGAAACCACAGAGTACCACCAAGAGGAAGGTACAGTGCTGGCATCTGCATTCCATTGCTAAGGCATGATGTTGGAGTGCTACAGAGTCAGTCCTCAGTTTGGCGATAAGTAAAATATGTCTTGGTGGGCTGTGGTAGCTTAATGCTTTGTTACTGTTGTAATGAAGACTGAGTGTTGTAATGAAGATTATGTTAGCATTTGGATAATTTGCTATAGGTTTTGGAGGTGGGTGGTGAATGCTCTCTTCACAAATTCAGCTAGTATTCTGCCAGGCTTTTGAATAAAAATGAGAAATAAAGCTTTATTTTCCCCAAAAAAAATATTTTTTTGGAAGCGGTTATAGGGGAAGGGCTGGTTGACAGGGGAGTAGTGGCTTGCGGTTGTTTTACCAGGCTGCATTTGTGCCACTGTTGTAATAACTCTTAAGGTGGGTCTCTGTATGTGCAGTGTAGCCCAGTTAAGAAGCATATATCCATCTTGTTTCATTTATTGTTTTAATCTTGTTCTTAGGAAAACTATTCTGTCTGAAGTAATGCAATCCTTACAAACTTATGACAGACAAGAGGAGAGCAGAGATTTAAGCCCTAGTAACTCCTGATACAACATGAAATGATACAAGAGAAAGGGCTTTTTGGTTTGTTATTTTAATGTCAGTTTTGACTTTTGGTTAATGAGTTCCCATTAGCCTCTTTTATGCTCATTAGAAGTGTTTTTAATCAGAAATGGGAGTTTTGGAAATTGAAAAATGATCACTGCTCACTGCTAGTGATGGGTTACACCAAAGCTGACATAACGAGTTCTGAGATTAATCCTCCCAGAGTGTTAGGGTGTGGGTTGCTTGAGGGAGTTGGTGTCACCAAAGAGTTATAATTGCTTTTGAATCATGGTTTGGTATAAATGGGTTTTGTTCTTCCCAGAGAAAGAGAGTGGGTTTTTTTTTCTTAATTTGAAAAAGTTAAGACTCTTGCATTGCTCTTTTAGTTTGTCTTTTTCCCTTTGAGACAGGCACAGTTAAGAACTAAAGTAAAATTTAATAATACTACCTCTAATAGTTATGGGAGTTGCTTTTTTGGTGGCACTCTTCGGAGCTTAAGTCATTATTTCCTTAGCCATGTCTGTACTGCAGATTTCTAATATTCTTTGAAATAGTCAGCTGTTGTTAGCCTAATTATCCATTTCAGACAATTAACAGAGATTCTGTGAAAATGAGGGTTAGTTGCTTGTTTTATAGTCTGTGAAGGCAGGAACAGGTGGACTCCTGATGCTTTAATGTAATTTTTCCTGTTCCCCTTTTAGAGGGGCTCATAAGGGTAAAGCAAGCTTTTCTGTTCTGCAGGCTGTTGTCCCAGGGCCAGCTGAGCACCCCTTGCAGTATAATTATACATTCTGGTACTCCAGACGGACACCCGGGAGACCCACCAGCTCACAGAGTTATGAACAGAACATCAAACAGATTGGCACCTTTGCCTCCGTGAGTATATCCCTGTTGTCGTTGTGCACTTGGGCATGGCATGGTCATTGTGGCTGGCTTGCTCCCTGTGTGCGAGGGGTATGTGCATGCAGGCTGTGCTCTTGTCAGGAACAACAAGAGGAGAGTGAATGATATGCCCTGACTTACGTATGAGTTCTTGAATTACCTTCAGCAGGTGGCATGTCTTAAGTGGTTCTTCTCTGCCCTGTGCTAGCCATCTGTGGCTGCAGTATTGGTGGTAGCTGGAATAGTAATAGAAAATTAAAAGAATTCCCATGTAGCTTAAAACTGCTAACTGGAGCAGAATTTGACAGGTAAGCATGAGAAGAAAGGAACAGCTTTTCCGGATGCAATATAGGTGTGAAGCAAAGACTGTACAGTTACACACACTTCTCCACTGCCCGTATTTCCACCAGTGTGTTTGGAACAAGCATCTGGTGAGCTGTACATACAAGCAGCTGGTGACCTGTTTTTTGTCTAGAAGTGATGACTGAGATGCAGTTTGGTGTTGCAGTGAAGTTTATTAAAAAGCTAACTGCTTTCCTTTCCCCTTTGACTCTTTGTCATTGTTTATTCCTAGAATAAATTGAATGTAACTTTTCAGTCTGGTAAGTCAGTGTAGACTTAACATTGTTTTTTAGCTCCTCAGAGGAAGAAAATTAACACATTCTGTTGTCTGCCGTTTGCTGCAAAGAATTTGTGGATGCTGTTGAAGGTTGGAACTGCTAGAGTTCAGTTAGAATGGAGAGAGACTGGCTAGCAGGTCTGATAATGTGTTTGGTTCCAAATTCTCTCTCAGGAGGAGGAAGAGCAAGCTTTTGAAATGTCTGAGCCTGAATCTGGGTTCAGATTTATTCTTTTCAGTAGAAAGCTCTGAAAGCTTTTAAGTGCTAACCGCTAGGGGGCATAATCACTTGCTGTAAGAAGATAATTTCCACAGTGTATTTTGATGTGCCTGACAAAAATAAATTGCTTTTGACCCCACCTCAGTCTTGGTTCATAATTTTATTGGCTACAAAAACAAATTCCTGACTGGGTGGCAGAGGTCAGGGATTGGAGCAGAATTCCAAGTGCTGACCAGGTCATTAAGGTCTCTGATAAAGTACTTGGGATGGTGTCTGGCCCCTCCAGCTTCACTGCTGGTCTGCTTAATAGCTATTGACTTGCAGAGTGGAATCCTCTTAAAATATGGAAATTAGTATAATGTCTTCCAGTGCCTTGTTTTGTTTTAAAGATCGAGCCTTTCTAAAATCCTTTCTTATCCAGAGAATCTTAAAGGGTAAATATGTTATTTTTAAGAATTAGAAAAGATAATTCCCTTGCCTTCCAGCCAGATTGGCTGAAGTAGACACAGGGGTGCCAGAATGGAAATGGGTCAAAGTGAAGTGGTCCAACCATGGCAGATTTCAAAAGGAATGTTTAAATCAAAGTTCTGAATGGTGCCTTAAGATCTTAAACCAGCACTAGAATGTGGTGCTGGTCTTAAATGTGCTTTTGTCTTAAAACCTGGATAGAGTAAAATTAAATACAGAAAATGTCTCATTTGAATGCTCCTAAAGTCTCCATAGTTGCAGAGAGCAGTGGTTAATGCAGGGCTAATGTGCGTAGTGTAGAAAGGTAGCTGATCTACTAATTGGAAGTTTGAGCCATAGGATTTATCTGTTTGCAACTTCTCCAGAGCAGCAGTTATCTTGGCACAGATTTCTTCAAATCAGGTGACTTTGAAAATACATGTTCAATATTTCAAGTGGTCATCTCATAACAGAGCCAGTCAGAAACATGCACCCAGCCTCTGATCCTGCCACTGCCTTCTGGGTATCTCAATCAACACCCTTCTGACAAGAAAGTAGAAGGGAAGGTGGCTCTGGCCAGCTGGTGAAGAAAGCGAAGCCTGTTTCTGTAGGAATCTTGGCTGTAAATAGTTTGAGCAGCCTCATGTATGGTTCATGTTGTTGCAGGTGGAACAGTTCTGGAGGTTTTACAGTCACATGGTACGTCCTGGGGACCTGACAGGCCATAGTGACTTCCATCTTTTCAAAGAAGGGATCAAACCTATGTGGGAGGTGAGTTGGAGTTCTCATTTCTGCCTTGATATTTTCCCACAACATTCTGGAGGGAGTCTTCTATAATGAAGGAGCTCTTGTCATTAAATGACACTCCAGGCTTCTCTTGAGTACAGTCCTTTCTTCTGGTTTTCCTGTAAACTTGTCAGCAGTACTTTGTCCCATGTAACCTAGCAGTCCTGTGACCTGTTGGCAGAAAGGGAAGGTGCAGAGAATTCCTAGCTGCACTCCCCCAAAGGCTGCAGAACTGCCTTTGCCTGTAGGTCCAGAGGCTGTCTGGGCCATGTTACCTGGAGCCAAACAGAGGGGACCCTAACTAAGCTCTGTGCTTCCTGACAACCCTTTATTATAACTTTGACTGATGGCAGCAGTGTGGGGCTTTCCTCTAGAAGGGCTGGACCTCTGTAAGTGGAATTCAGCAAAGCTTATAAGAAACTGATCCTCCTTTTTTCAGGCAAGGAAGGAAAAGGTAGATGTGGTTAAAAGCCTACACCCGTGCATAGAGCTGGAGACACAAAGATGATTTAGCCCTTAATTTGCCTTTTGTTTTTGTCCCAGGGTATCTAGTTTGCTTCTGTTCATTCCTATCCAAACCTGTTTTAAAAAAAAAAAAAAAAAAATAAAGGAAAAATTCTTTGCCAAGCAAATCATTCTTCCAGTTCCTGGCCTCCTTCCAGCAATGACCAATACCATCCACAGTATGAAGATTTTATGTGTTGCTCTGAAGCACCTAATTACACTGCTTGGTCCTGAGAAATTTATATGTGACCCTAGTTGGCAATTATTCTAAGCAAGGTGTTTTATAGCCAGTTACTGCAAATGCAATTTATATAAAACATTTAACCCTCTTTGGGCTCCTTGTGAGCTGCTCTGATAGTGTGTCAGCCAGAAAGTCCACAAGTTAATGATTCTGGAATTTTTATAAAGCATTTCCCTGTAGCCATTTTAAGATGGAGGTGGAGAGATTTTTTGGTTTTGCTTCTGGCCCCACTCCCTTTTTGTATTTATAGAAGAAGCTTTGGGCTCTTGCTGCTGGCCTTCCCTTTGCTGCTTGCTTTGTAGGGCTTTGTTTATGCTCCTTTCTCTTCCAAACTAATCCTTACTTACTGTCATTCTTATAGGCACATACATGCTTCTATGTAGCTCTGGTCTTTTTCTGGATCCATCTGTGCCTTTTCTGGGTGAAGTCAGAAGCAATAAGCATAATGTTCCCTGGTGATTTACTGGGCTGCAGATCGTTATTATTCTGGTAAAGGGAAATCAAATGCTTGACTGAACCAAAGCTTGTTTAACCTGAACGAAAACTAACAATAACCATAAAATGCACAATACAGCATCTGCCTCCCAATCCCTGTTCTCTTTCTAGCCTTGAACCTGCTTCAACCGCCTTTGAAATATCTTGTACAATACCATTTTCTCTTCTGACCCCCCCTTACTCATTGTGGAAAGTTTGAGGAGTTAAACCCAACTCCCTGCCTAAAGGCTGTAGCTTAGACAGCTCAATTCTTGGAGTGTGATGTTCACAACTTGGAAAGCAAGGACACTGAATCACAAAACAGTTTGCATCTCATGGGAATACATCACATTCCTAGAACTTGTGTTGATTTGGATTCTTCACTATGCATGTGGCTGCTGACATGCTTTAAGGCTTATCCCAAGCTGATGCTTTCCACTTTCAATTCAGGCTTTAGTACATACCTGAAAACTAGGGATCTGGTGAATGCTGCTGTTAGGCTGGCACTTCCATGTTTGCCCAGGATTGCTTCATTAGCACTTGCTGCCTCTGAAAGCACACGAATTTTTCATTTTTTCTCACCCCTAGAGAAGCTGTAAGGCTAAAATAAAAATTTGTTTCATTAAGAAGGGTTGGGCTGCCTTACCTAGCATCTTTAAGGTGTGTCCCAGCTTGGCAGAAGGGCTTGCTGGTGATTTGGCCAGAGATGTTCTGTATTCTGCAGTCTCCTGTTACCCTTTTTTCTTCTCTATTTCTGTCCTAGACCTGTCTTCCCTTTCCCTTCCTAACTGCCACCTCTTTGACTTGTTCCTACCTCTCTGTGTTTGGCTTTGAATGGAATTTGTTCCCCTCTTGCCTTGTAAGATTTCCCAGCTACAGTGTTATACAAGAGAAAGTCACAGCATTCTGCATAGAGGAGGAGCTGCTGTTTGGCATAGGTGTGCATTCTGTGAAGCAGAGGAGACTGTAGCAATTTTCAGCTCTTTTTCAGATGCGACATATGGAATCACAATACCGAGGCGATGGTCTGGGTGCTTAGCATAAATATTTTCTTCACCCTCTCTCCTCATTGTGGTTATTTCCCTGGGTCACCACAGTCTGCAACAAACATTCAGCTGTATGATATGTGATAGTATCAGTGGTTCCTACAGAGCAGCCTGGTCCTTTGTGCATTAACACAACTTATAAGCCTGTTCTGCAAATGTGGAAGGAAAGTGTTTATCAACGTTTTGCTTGCTTTTAACTATCACTTCACAAACTCCCTCCCTTCCATGTTCTGTGATGAGGGAATTTTCCTGTTTTGCAAGCAGAACTGCATATACAGGGAACTGGTCAAAGGGAAACTCAGTCTTGCATTTAGGAGTAGTTTTAGGGTCCTTGCCTCTGATTCTGTATACAGATTGGTAGGCTGCTGTTAGTCTTTGCTAGTGGGATCAAAACACTAGAGCTCAAGTCTTCAGTGCATACAGCTTCATCTGGAATGCATAGAATCATTGTTTTAAAATACTTCAAAGTAAATGGTATACCTCTGTCTTTGTTTTTATGGGGGAGAAGTGAAATGCTTTTGCTTGAAAATACATCCGTTCTGTCCCTTGCCCCACACAATCAATGTCTGCTCCTGTCTGTGGCTCTACTGTCTTGCAGGAAGTAGAAAAATAGCTAGAAGAAAACAAATTGATTTCTTGCCCCTCTTCCTAGGATGATGCCAACAAAAATGGTGGTAAATGGATTATACGCCTGCGAAAGGGCTTAGCGTCACGATGCTGGGAGAATCTCATTCTGGCAATGCTGGGAGAACAGTTTATGGTGGGGGAAGAAATCTGTGGGGCAGTCGTCTCTGTCCGATTCCAGGTAAGCACTTCTGAGAACTGGCATGTACTTCCATTTGGCAAGGCTACAAAAAGTACCATCTGCTTACCCCTCACATGCTATTCTGTAGGAGGATATTATCTCAATATGGAACAAGACAGCCAGCGACCAAGCCACAACAGCCCGGATACGCGACACGTTACGAAGAGTGCTCAACCTACCTCCCAACACCATCATGGAATATAAAACACACACTGATAGCATCAAGTACGTGTGGTGGCAGGGGGAGGGCCTGCTGCTGGTTGCATGCATGCTTGAGCAATTTAATGCAGATCACAGGAACTGAAAGAAGTGCTCATGTGCGTTAGGGCTGTTCACTGCGAACAGTAATACGTACAGTAATACGTACAGCAGCATTTGCTGCCAGTGTGCTTTGAAAGCCAAGTATCTGTGTCATTATCGTGCTGCTGTTAGGGACATTTGGTTCTAATAGTGAAACCTTATTTTGAAGTATATAGTCCAGGGTGCTTTTAGCAGTCCACCCAGCTTGTCACTGGGAGATGGGCAGCCCAGTGTGGGTCTGTTGCTCGATGTATTCAAAGACAAGATTGCAGTGAGGGGGACAAGACAATTTGAATAAATAGAGATTCTGGGGAATAAAGTGTGGAAGCTAACGGGGATTTATAGTGCCATTAGACTTATAAATGGTCTTGGGAAAGTGCTGTGTGGATTTACAGTGCTGTACAAATGATTTCTAATCATAATAAACGTCATATGTTAAGTCTTCCAGGCCCTGGTGACAGAGGCTCTTTAACAAGACTAGAAGATCACGGTACACAGAGAGGACAGCTGTATTTTTAAATAAACCTATTATAGCTTACCACACCAGGCCATTCAGGGTGACTTTTATATTCCACAAAGTAAAAAAAATTGCATATATAGATATTAGAGGTGAATAATGTTTTGGGTTTTTTTGTTTGTTTGTTTTTCTTAGATGTATTATAAACCAATAAAGATGTACCCAGAGAAAGAAGTGAAAAAAATTAGTAAGACATTGATAGAGCAGTGAGCTTTCTCATCTAGCTCAATCAGGGTGCAAGTACCTTTCATGACTTCCTTTTATTGTGCTAGTTTGTCCTCTCCACATAATGACCCTGTCATCAGTGTGCGGTCAAACAGTTTTGAGATCAGTCCTGATTTTAGCAGACAGCTAGCTTCCAGTGTTAACCAGTTTTGAGTGTGGGTCACAAAATGCAGAGGTCTGGTTTAAACTGCCTGTAGGCACCCAGGGTTCCATGTTGTCCTCCCTTCCTCCTGTGTGTGTGGGGAAGAGGAGGGAAGGAGGTGATTGTTTTTGTGGTTTTGCCGGTAACATCCGTCATGCACTGTTTGCCAGGAGAGGGCACTATCGACTCTCTGTCCATGTTATGAGATAGCAAAGTGCTCATGCGGAACAGGGTATTTTACTCCTGTTCAGAGGTGATGTGGCTTTGTGGTGAGAGGAGGGAGGTGTCTGACTTCGCTCAGTCTCTGTAGTGAAAGCTGTGTACTGAGCCAACTGTCCTGAGCTATGGTGGTGATTTGTGTAACGAGTTTAGAATGAAAATGATGTGTCCTTTCCCATATAAACTATTGCCACCAGCACTTCCTAGCACAAAGAATGCTGTTACAGCAATGTTTGTAACTGTTCTTGCTCTGACAGCTGTCAGTTCTTGAGTGATGGTGCATCCGATATTGTGGTCAAAAGTTTCATTTTGTGCTGCTGATGTATGGTGCAAAATGAGCTTGTCCAAGAGTAACAGGTGTTTGAGGAATCAAGTTTAGTAGCTCAGACTACAGCTGGGAGCTATTCTTAAATAGAGGCAGACTGGCTTGTCTCCTACTTATTCTTCTGCAGGTAGGGGGGTTAGTCAGGAGTTGGTTTGGTGGTGCCCAAGTGAGCAATTAACCTTCTGCTATGCAGGGGATCACAAGAGCCTTCCCC